GGCATTCAGAGCAGGAGCAGCCTTGGTAAATGATTGACAGCATACACTGACAGTTATCATCCCCATTGAAATGTCAAGGCAGACTTGGTCTTCTCAAGTGGGAAGTAAAACTTAGAGCATGGCGTTCCAGCCCTTGCACATGTAGGCATGAGGGTCCTAGAAGGTGGTTCCTGGAGAGCGTGCGTCAAGAAGATTCTGAAGTTTCTTCTCTGACTGGTCCTCAAGTTCAGTACCCTAGAGCCTGCACTGTAAGCAAATTCCATTGTCTGTCTTCCACATACTGGTCTGGAAAAACCTTACCTCTAAGTTCTCCATTTGTAATGTATAAAAAACAATGCAGGCCAGCAAGATGACTCAATGTATACAGGTGCTTGCCACTGAGCCTGTGACCTGCATTCAGTCCCCAGAACACACAAGAAGGAAAGGGGGAACTGACTTCTAAAAGCTGTTGTCCAGTTTCCAGATATGATGTATAAAACACACACACACACACACACTCACACGCATGCACCCACTAGATAAATGAAAAAAAAAAAAACTTTTTTTATAGAACAATACATGCTCTAAGCTCTAACTTAATAAGCCATGGATAAAGAAAGTGTTGGTTCTAGGTTTTTGTTGGTTGTATTTGTTGCCCATTTTCTTCTTTTATAAGATATTCCCTCCTTCGCTAAAGGAACACAAGGGAGAATCAATGTGATGTTGATTTAGAAGAATAAGCAGGTACTCTACAAGAATCAGGTACCCTGTCTGTGTATTGTTAAACATCAGAGGAGGGAAAATTAATCCTAGAGAAATCCCTTTCAGGTGTGAGGTCCTGCGGGCTCTGGAGTCTTCACCAGGGGCAAAAGGAGAGGCAGGGACAGGTGGGCATCTGAACTATGGCATGGGGCTGGCTGTTGCATTCAGTGAGTGGTGGATTGCCATAGGTACTGGAGTGAGAATGGGCAGAGCACCCTGTGGAATGTGGAAGCTACAAGATATGTAGAGACCAGGCTTGCCAACACCCAATCAGCTGTGTCTGGAAGCTTCTGCACTGCCTGGGACTGTGTATGTAGTCCCCGAAGCAGAGGATACAGGTAAAGAGGAAATGTGTACTCACTGCCTGTTAGCCAACTACCCAGCAATGCAAGCCTCCTAAGGAAGTGAGTGCCCTCTAGGGGTTTATGTAATTTCTCAGTGCTGTTCTCCATTACACTCAGGCCCTCGAGATGCTCACTAAACTAAACTTGTTACCTACTCTCGGAAAAGGAGAGCGGGGCCCTCTTAACCAACTCCCACCTGGCTGCGGCTGTGATTACATTACATAGAAATTTATTAACATGGCCTTTTGATTGATTATTATCTTAATACTGAGGGTGACGTTACAGGTTCCCCAATACCTTAGCAAATTGCAGGTACAAATTACCACTTCTTTGAAATAAAAAAAAAGAAAAAAAAAAACAATATCCTTAACTCTCACTTTATGATTCCATTTCTATGAACCACAGTGATCACAAAGAGGAATATCTTATATTTGTAGTTGCTAAGGCCGGAGGCACAAGAAGCAAGAGAAACACTGCTTACTGTAGGGTGCAGGGTTTCTGCTTACAGGGGAGAAAAAGATACCAGTAGTGACTGCACAACCTTGCAAATAGAAAAACAGTGTACAGGAGTCTATATTTTAGAAGGGTAGATGCCTCCTGGATGACTATCTCCTAGGGCAGAGACTTGCTGCTCCGAGTAGCCTCACATCACTCCATCAGGAGGGGAAAAGTTGAGTTGACCAACTAGGATTTCTGCCTGGTTTTTCCTTGCTGTTGCATTTGATTTGTTAAACTAGCTAATATCATCTATCCTTTATTTCTAATTCTGTCTGGTTTTATATACCAGCAATACATAACAGAAAAAAGAGCGTATGGCTGACTGAACACAAAGGGAGAGAAGGGCTCCAGACAAGTGTGTTCAGGTGTTCAAAGGACTTGACTCCTGAAAAACAGCTGGTCCCATGGGCTGGACAAAGAACACTCAGGAGGCAGGAGGGTTGCTCATAGAAACAGTAAAGCAAGTGTTTGCCCGGAGCAGAGAGCGAGCTTAGTGGAAGGGTGGGAGAGAAAGTTGGAAGAACAAGGTATGTGGACTTCAGGGTGGTGAGTGCCATGCTGGGACACTGATAAAGGGAATGAGGAGAAGATGGTTGGTTGTGGAAGTGAGTACCAGAACAAAGCTGTAGGCTGGGTGTGGCATGGCCAGAGTAAGGGGAAACAGTGCAGAAGACTGAGGAAGGGTGGGTGATGACATCACCCTCTTTAAGCATCCGTCTCGAGTTAGTTTTTTAATCTATCCATCTTCTCTTTTGCCTCCTTTGCTCTTACCCAGGAATGGGGTGGTGGTGGGGGAATAAAAATGTAAAGAAGAGAGGTATCGAGAACAAAGTATAGTCTGTGTGCTTCAGCTGCCCCACAGCTCAGCATTTCCTCCAAGTGACTCCGAAGAAAGTCTCGTTTCTTCAAGTGGAAAGCATGGAGAGTAGGGATAGACACATCTGTGTGGTGTGGTAAACCAGGAGGTCTGCAATAGTTGCTGCCTGACAGAAGGAACAAAGGAGACCTGTCGGCAGATGATCTGTGTGAATTGTGTTAAACCGAATGAAATTGCCACCGGACGTTTTCAACCCACCAAATAAAATAAAATAAAGGCAGTTTTGCATGATCCAAGCCTAAAGGGTGATAAGATGTATCAGGCCTTAGCCGGAATGTTCCCCTTTTCTGGTTTCTTCCTCAATTCGTCCATTAAAGTGCTGGTTTTACAGTCAGAGGAATCTGCCAGAAGTCAAAGGATGAATGGCACTGGGTAGGGTGCCTGTGCTGGGAGGCAAGGGTAGGTGACAGCACAGGAGCCAAGAACACACCATTCTGCAAACATCATGGTTCTTTGCCAGTTATCCATTTTGGCTCGGTAGTAAAATTCAAGTGGGGGGGAGCACTGGACACCTTCCTTTTCTAATTGGGTTGCTAACCACTTTTGAGTAGTTTTAGTTCATCTGCATGGTACCAATATGGATCTCTAAGAATAATCATAGGAGCATTGGAACATTGGGGAACGTGGCAGATACGGGCCAACGTTAATAATGATTTTCTGTGTGACGTGGTTTCCCACAGTCCAGCAGCAAGTATAGCAGAGAAGTGTACACATGTGTTGGGACAGAAGGACTGCTAATGTGTTGAATAACAACATCCAAAGAGAATACTTCTTGGGCATACATGTGCTGTTGGGTGTTGAAGGATGATTCTCTGTAGCAAGTGGGCAGGCAGGATGTGATTCTAGAAGATGGGATAGAAACAGATAGCTATTCCTATAGGATGGTGTCAGCATCTAGACACTAGGACCCAAGTGTGGACCCTCCATATGAAGAATGTAAGTTGTACAGCATGTCAAGCGCATTAATGTAAACAATATGTCAAACTGTCCGATTATGGTATGCTTAAAACTGTAGTGGTTAGACGACGCTGAGCATGAAGGACTATGAGATTACCTTACTGCGTGCTAAAAGGCCAGCTCACAGGACACAGCCCAAGAAGGTAGTTGTCCTGCAGGAATACAGCACTCCACACACCAAACAAGCAGGCATTTATCTTAAATTGTAGACAGAAATATGATTGCAGTAAAACCTTAATGTGGTCTTCATTCCTGCTCTCCCAGGAACCTAACTGTCCTTACATGTGGAAGACCAAAAGAAGAGTAGTGGGGGAGGGTTCCGTTCCCATCTCTCCAGTGGCTTTTTGGTGGTCTTTGATACAAACCGGAACTTCGTGTCCATCTTTAGACAGCATTGAAATTCTGGGCCTGATGATTGAGATATTTGAGGACTATGGTCATATTTTTAACTTATTGGCAATTCAAACAATAGGAGAACAAACCGGTCACTTAAGCAAGAAAGGGGAGAAAACAGAATTAATGGATTTGTTAATTCTTGATGTGAATGTCTCCTTCCCTGATCTGAACAACACCCCCACTACACATTGAGAACCCACACATTCCCTTCCAGCATCTCTCTCTCTTAAGGATGCCTGAATTTACTCCTCTCAACCTGGCATCTCACTCCATCACTCTTTCTGCTATATGATTGTTTGGACCTATGCTTCTCCCTGTGGAGTCTCAAGACCGGAGTTTAGCAGCTACTTCCCATTACTACATTTGTATGCTGGTACCCAGCTGTCCGGGCATCTCATTTCATTGCATCTGAAAAGCCAGTTTGGTCTCCCTTTTGTTTTCCTCACTTACCTCTGCATATCGGCTCCTGCGTTTAGACAGATTTCACAACAGACTTAAAGTCGAGTGACCAGAGCTTATAGCTCATGAACTATCTCACCCCTGCATGCGGAGAATTGAAGAAATTAAAACTTTCTGCTTCCAAGACAACTGTCACAAAGCCCACTTGCCTAAACCTCACACCCCACTATGTATAGAAACTTCAGTCTCCAATCTGTCCGGAATACGGCACACAATGTAGATTAAATACTGCCCAAGATGACGTTTCCCCTAGAGATGCTCATACAGATGAGGAATGACTGGAAAACCAATAATTTCATTGTTGGGAGTGGAAGAAAGAAAACCCTCTAGAGAATGGCTACTCATCACTGGAAACAAGGCTGTAGCCTGGGGCTACTTAATGGAGGGAACACTCATTCACTGTGAGCATCTCTGACTGATAGAATGAGCACGTGTAGAAATGGCCCTACATCATCTGAAAATGTTACAGTGAATACCAACCTGGGTAACTAAGAAATGGGTGAAATGTGTCTCCCAAGGTGGGCAAAGTTAAAATGGGGCTGTGTATAGGACATGAGCTATAGTTGTTGGGAAGTGACTGCTAATGCAGCCCTCCCATCATCCTCTGCTGTACTGGATAACCAGGGTGTGCCATGTAGCCCAGGTACTTGCCACTTTGTTTGGGGGTCTCCCGACTTCTGTGTTGTTATTTATTCATGGGGTTTTCCTTCCCTTTTCTTTGGTTTCAGATGCGAGTGTCTCTCTGGCTTATGTGGTTTCCCCGTTTGTGAGGTGGGATCTACTCCCCGCATAGTCTCTCGTGGAGATGGGACTCCTGGAAAGTGCTGTGATGTCTTTGAATGTGTTAATGGTACGTGGGGTTTCTCTTGTTCTCAGAGAGTGTACATTTGTATAGCAGGAGGAGGAGGGAGGGCCAACCTAGCTCTTTCTGCCAGTCAGAGCAGGGAGCATCCTTAGGGACATGATGAAGGTCACTCAGAGAGGGGGGCTTGCTTAGTCACAGTGTAGTTAAGAAAGTTAGGGAGAAAAGTGTCATTCTGTCACAGTGAACCTCATAGATTCAGGAGCAGATCATACATGAAGTGTCAGAAGTTCAGTTTGGGGATTTCAGGGGGGAAAGGAAGATCATAGAGCCCTGTTACGTACTTTCTGTCCTCCAGTGTTCTGTCCCCATTACCGTCAGGAGATAATGTCACTGAAACCATGTGGGAGCTAACACAACCTGAAATAGAAAAGGCCGATGTTTCCCTAGTTAGAGAACATCTTAGATCAGTGTTTGGGATCAGTATTGGCCAGCTTTAGACTTGGCCCTTCTGGCTGTGGACCTTGGTGTCATAAGATTTCTTAAACAGAATATGCCTCTTCCCTTCATCCTTCACAGGACAGTTTGCTATTTTGCAGCTTGGTGTTTATTAAATCTAGACGTTGGGAGAGTAGAAAACCTGAACCCTGCTTCTCTGTTGGAGTTTTCAGGAAAAAAAAAAAAAATTGCATAGACCACAACCACTGTCCACGCATGGATGAAAGTAGACACAGTTAAGCAACTATAACACGAAACTGGCAGTGACCACTGCCTGTGAGAACCCAGGCTCTGGGAGGTCTCCTTCCTGCTCTAGGTTCCTCCCCCACAGAGACCCTGCTAAAGTTGAACCCTGCTTGAATTGTTGTGACCTTGTATTTTCTAGTCACGTGCTTCTGAGTTATGTTGCTTTGGTTTGCACTGAAGAGACACTGGTAGTGTAGCTGGGTGGTTCAGAAAAACCTCAGACCAAATGAAGTCAGACGAGGATTAGTTCTTCCCTGTCTTGCTGTGTAACTGGGGGAGGCTCATGGTCACTGTGGGCCTCCATTCTACAGCTCTAGAATGAAACAGGGAAATAGTAATTATGCATCGAGTGTGAGTGGCCTTTATTGTTCTGTGTCCTCACATTCTGCCCCCACACTCACAGAACACCGCTCTGGGTGTCAGTGGTGGAGGATGGAGACAGTAAGGGTAGAGCAAACATACTGATGGATGGATTTTATAAATAGAAGCCTCCGAGGGAGGGTGTGGGGAAAGTCCCATGTGCTTAAATCTCTATGAAGCGCTTCCCGTCACTCCTGTTACCACCCAGCCTGTGCCTTTGTCTGTTCAATCCAAGCCCATGGACAAGCAGACCGCTTCCACTGCAGCGTGATTTACTGCAGGTGATATTCTATGAATGCTTCACTCTCTCTGTTCTCTGTGAATTCTTAACTTGTGCTGTAACTTTTGTACTACTCGGGACAGAAATCATCACTCCTTTATCCCAGAACTTGCATCACCTCAGATGCGCTTTCTGGCACCGCTGTCTCTCATTCATTCCATAATAACTGCTAGAAAGGGTAATCTGTCTGTCTCGTCACATGTCTGTGGATGTTGGCTTATCATATGCCTCAGGGGGTCCCTAGATTTTCTTGATTTAGCAAGTGAATGATCTGATTGATAACCCTCTTTGTGCCCTGAGAAGTGACTGTGGAAAGGCCAGCTCGCAGAGAGGTCACTTCACAGGAATACCCCATGTTTCACTGCCCTAGACCTTCATCTGAAGTCACTTTGTCTTCCACAAAGAGCACCCAAATGAGGTTGTTTGCTTCGTTTCTCTGGATAAGGAAGATTGCCATCTTCAATCAGAACGTTGACTCTACCTTCTCGCAACCCTGACATCAGTCTTTGTGCCTTGCCGTTACTCACAAACGCTTCTCATAGCACCCTGACCTTAAGGATAGGATTGACCATCTGAATGGCTGTGTTTCCTGTAGTTGCTTCCTCTAACTTGCTTGCTTCTTGTCCTGCTATATATTGTCTTGTACTGTATTGGCCATTCAGTTGTAGAAGACTAGGCAGTAACTATAATTCTGTGAGAGCTAAAAATCAATACTACAGGATATTTTTAAGGATAATCTGTCTTCGCCTGTATCTTATTTATTTTTACAGGTACATGTATACACACATCCATGTGTATTTATTTGTGAATTTATGTGATTTATATCACTATCTCTCTATCTCTGTATATACACATGTGCTTGTGTGTGTGTGTGTGTGTGTGTGTGTGTGTGTGTGTGTGTGTGTGTGTGTGTGTCTGTGTGTCTGTGTGTGTGTATGTGTGTTGGAGGAAGCAAGGAAAGGACAGAGGGATCAGGGAAGGAGAACCAGGCAGAGGAAGGGAAACAGAAGAGAGAGTGAGAAAGGGGGGATCATGCTTATCCACAAGGATTTGGGACTGCTATACCCTGAGAACAGGTTTAATAACATAGTGGTTAAATATTAATTGGAAAAGAGAATAGTCATAAGGTTGTCAGCAAAAGAAAGTGAAAATTAAACAGAGCACACACAAGTATGCAGGCTTACGGGGGTCTTTGTAGTTTATGTAGTTGTCAGAGTTAAACATCATGCCTCGTCCCCCAGCTTCCTGTCATTAAAATGTAAAAGGATGTAGCCTCAGATAAACAGTTCTTATTTGTAGAAGCAAAAAGGCCTGTTGAACAGAGCAACACATAGTCCCTAATCGCAACACCTTCTCACATGTAATTTGAGAGGGCAGCATTGAGCGGTGTGTTTTATGTTCAGTCGCTTCAGCGGCACAAATACAGAAACCAGTACCCAGTTGCCAGGCTCCTGAATGAAAGACGAGGTACCACTGAAACTCGGTGAGAGGGCAGATGTGCACAGCTGGACCTCGGTGCCTGGATCACTGTCTTATGGTGTGAGAATTACTATGGAAGACCCCAGTTAGGCAAAGAGTGGGTTGACTGCCTACATTACAGTCTCACCTAAAGAAGCAGAGATTTCACAGCAGGACTGGCCCCTGAGCTGACACATAGGGCTCACAGTACTTTTTTAAAAAATATACATTAAAATGAAGATGTAAATGTTTAAAATGGTCCCAAATGTATTCCAGAGCTCCTGGGTTCACTAGACTGGATGAAGAGATTGGAGAACTTCCTCACTAAACCTGGTTTGGTCTTGTGTTGGTAGAGGCAGGAGCAGAGAGTGGCTGACTGCAGCTCAGGTTTGCCATGGGCTTCTCTGATGCAAGCTCAGAGTAAGGCTTGTGAGGTGACGTCAGAACCACAGGAACAAGTGATATGATTGAGTGGTGAACAGTCAGCCACCTCCTTCAAGAATCTGCTCCGGCTCACAACAGATGTTTTGTCAGCAGTGAGCTGGAGCTGCCTACTGACCTCACAGCTAAACATGCCTGTCTGCTCCATTGTGTTATCTTCCCTGTCATCCTCTACGTGTCCCACCTCTCAGTCCATAGGCTCTGGCTATTGGGACACCAGATGTAGAATGCAGAAGTGATCAGCAGTCATGCTTAGACACATAGCTTCCCAGTGTGTATGCCAGGCACCTAGATAGAGTATTTGGTTTGAATGACATCACCAGCAAGGAGCTTTTCCAGGGTGATTTAGTTATATAATATGCTCCCTAAGTAAGTCAGGGAATTCAGCCGTGGTATTGGAAACATACTGATTGAAATTCCCAGAAATAGTTTCAGCCTTATATTTCATACTAAGTGTATTGAGCAAGGCTAGGTATAACTTGAGGTCAATCCACGTTCAACACTATGAGTCTATCACCACCATAAAAGGAGGAGAGCCTTGCTTTTCCCAGGCAGCCAAGAGTGGCAGAAGGTTGGGGAGGCAAAAGAGGGTCACTTGTGTGCATAGGATTAACTCAGAACAGTTTAAGATAGGTGTGGACTAAATTCATAGGAAAGTGGCAGGATGTGGTCTGGCTTGTAGTTTTAGCCTGTTCTTGTACTATTCGAGACATCTGCCTGTCCCTGTGGTCTGATCTCTCTCCCCACAGTATTAAAGGACAGAGTTTAAATAGACAGTAATGGTCTCAATTAAGACCATGACATCTGAAGTAAAGTCATTCACAGAAAAGATACACTCAACATCAGCTTTCTCACCATGTAAGATGTTGGCCTACAAACCCAACTGGGGAGTGTCAATAAGAAAGCTGTTACTAAGGACATCTGTGAGGAACCTGTGTCTGGATGGCAGTTATGCACAGTAAGGGTCCAAGCTCAGAGTGCCTGCCTAAACAGAAATAGAGAGAATCCAACAGTTTGAAGGAAAGACTGTTTGGGGTATATTTATCGAGCACTCCTGTTGTTCCCAGAGCCTTAGTAAGCTATAGCTCATGAGAGGCTTTTTGCAGCATTTTAAATGTTGTCTCCCCACCCCATTCTGAACTACTGTTTCCTTGGCATCCCCTGGCATAGACATAAGCATCCAGTAGAAAAGGTTCATTTCCCCTTCAGGTACTTGGAAGCCTTTATACCTAGTCTTTTGATTCAATCAGTCTAACTAGATCAGTTGGGGGGGGGGGGACCTGGAGAAATTGTCCAACTGCTTCCATCTGTCACAGTTGTCACTCCTTTAGCTTCCTGTTGCCTGTCCATTGACTTCCTGCGCAGGTCACCCTCCAGTGGAAGGAGACCAATGGCAAGATAGAAGCTGCCCCTCAACTAAAAGGTTGAAGAAGAAATGCAGTAGGAATAGACCTGGGGTGTTGGGGGTGCTTCTCCATTTTCACATTTGCTATGAAGTTCTGTTTCAACATTTCCCTTTGATACTGGTCACCTCCTGCCAATCAGAACTAGGGTTCTCCAGCAATCTATATCATGGCTCTCTCTTTCAAGAGTTGTGGCATGTTAGATGGAAGAGTCACAGAATGTAGAAACATAAATTGCCCGACACAAAGCACATGGAGCAATCACTGAGAGACACTTCCATACTGAAGAGTGCAAAATCCACCTTGGTACTGTTTCTGTTCCAGTGGAGGGAGGGGCCAGCTCTTTGTCACTCTAAGGTTCACATTATTACCAACAGGTGAAGAAAGTAATTGGGCATTGCTCCTCCAAGACCTCCGGTAGCTTTTGCATCAGACACCTGTTTGGAAAGTGCCTCTAATTAATTTCAACATCGATCATTTTGTTTTAACCCATCTAGGCTTATCCTAAAGGTTGCTTTATGGACCGTAGTTTTGGAGACTCTCCATCTCTCGTAAGCTTGACTCCCCGCTCCCCACCCCTGTGTGTGCTTTAGCTGGTTTACTAACTGCCCCCATCCTCCTGTCAATCAAGTCTCCTCCATGTAAGCTTCTATCCACCTCACCCTGAAAACCAGGCCTGCAGCAGCTGTGCTCACAACCAGAGTTCCAGTCCTGGTGGCTTCGGTCCTATGGTAATTGTGGTTAATTAACAAAGCTAAATAATTAATATTGGTTGACTTACTTTTTTCAGTCTGAGTGGATGTTGAAGGGGAGCCCGGCACAGCAGGGGCTCCCTCCAGGACGCCGGATTAGGCACAGACCACACCCAAACACCTGTTTCCACAGAGAGATCTTTTATTAAGTGGGGAAGAAAAGTTAAAGTGGCTGCTCCCTGACTCTGGCAGCAAAGGGCCTTGCGGGTGTTAATTTTTAAGAGGAGGAGAAGGGGAGGTCTGTGTTAGAAGGGGAGGTGATAGAGGAGATAGAGAATGAGAGAGAAGGGGAAGGGGAAAAGGAAAAAGAGTCAGTGACAAAGGACTGCCTCTGGATAGAGAGGAGACAGATGTGGCCCATAGGCAAATAGTGGTTTATAAAGGTAAACAGGGGAAACCCATGTTAGGATGAGGTGTTTAATTTTAATTGGGTTTGATAATTAGGTGAACCAAAGGGGGCTTCTGATTGCTGGACTTTGGTAGTCAGCCTCAGGAAGAGGAAGTAGTCAAATAAGGGACTAGGCCTTGGAGGGCTAGCTTTAGGAGTGTACTCTAGTGGTTTTTAGCAAGACGGAGGAAATGGCAGAGAAGGGCAAGGCCCGCTCTGCTCAGGTGGGCAAGTATCCCTTTGACATGATTTTGAAGTCGGGAAAGAATACTCATTCCCATAGTAACTCCTTTAGTACCTTGTTAGTGATCAAGATGGGCAAAGATGTAGACTGGTCTCATTCTTTAGCATGTGGCTATTTAGTTCTCTGCACTATTTTTTTTTCCTTCCTCTCATCAAATTGTCCTGGCACTATTGTCAAAAGCGTACATACTGATAGTTTATTTCTGAATTCTAAATTCTAGAAGTGACCTGTCTTGTCCTTACAGCAACACCACACTGTCTTAGTCACTCTACAATTGGATCATATTTGGAAATAGGAAGTGTGAAGCCTCTAACTTTGTTCTTCTTTTAAATAGTGTTTGTCAATTCTTAAGTGCTTATGTTTCCATGTGAGTTTTATGACCAGAGTGTCAATTTAGACAAAAGAATGAGCTAGGATTTTGATTAGGGTTGCACTGAGTATTAGATGAATTTAAGGAGTATTTTCATCTTAACAGTATTGTCTTTCAGTCTGTGTCTATTTATCTAGAACTTTTTAATTTCTCTAAACAGTTGACTAGAGTATAAGTTTTGTACTTAAATTTTTTGTATTATTCTTTCTGATTCTATTGGGAAATGGGATTAAACTTTATTTTCTGAGTGTTTATAGTGTATAGAAATCCACTTTTCTCATATTGCAGTTTGTACCCTGTAACCTTGCTGAAGTTGTGTATAATGTCTGATAGATTTCAGTGAATTTTTGAGGGTTTTTGTTGTTGTTGTTGTTGTTGTTGTTTTAAATTCAGGATCATGCTGAGTGCTTCTAGAGATAGGCTTATTTCTTCCTTTCCACTCTGGATGCCTTTTACTTATTTCTTTTCCCTAATTGTCTTGGTTAGAACTCCCATATAATGTTAAACTGATGTTCTAAGAACAGACATCACTGTCTTTTTCTTGGTCTTGTGGGGAGGGGTCATTCTTTCAACATTGCTAAGTATGATGTTATCTATGAGTCCTTGTAGACTCTTGTGTTAACTTTTCCTCCACTGTGATTCAAAAAATACTTAAGAAATGCAACCTAAAAAGAAAAAGTTTATTGTGGCTTATGGTTCCAGGTTCATTGTTGCCTGACCCTATTGTTCTTAGGGCTATGTCAAGACAGAAGCATCATGACAAAAAGGACATAGCAGCCAATGAGCAGAGAGCTAGAGGAAGGTTCAGGGGGCAAGATATACCCTTTAAAGGCATGCCCAAGTTCCTCCAGTAAGGCTCTATAATAATCCCTTCAGCTATGAACTTAACGGATTGACCAGCTGATAAAGTCAGTGTCTTACAAGCCATGTACATCTGTCTCAGTAGTTGAATCTTCAAGGCACAGTCTTTGGGTGATGGTGGTGCTGAGAGCATACTTTGTATTCAAAGGATAACAACACTATTTATCAAGTTAACCGAGTTCCCTCCTAGTTCTTATTGCTAAGTGTTTTCATAATGGGAGAGTTTTGGTTTCCTTTAGATGTTTAGTCTGCATCATCTGAGAAAATGCTATAGTTCCTGTTCTTTATTCGGTTGACACACCTTATTAAGATTAACTGATTTTTTGAATAATTGAACCAGCTTTGCATTATGTAATAAACACCAATTAGTCATGGTATTTAACCCCTTTTATATGCCCTTAAGATGTGGCTTGGTAGTAGCGTATTTGAGAAGTTTGTCTTGATCCACAAGATCTGTAGTTTTATTTTCTGGTGGTGTCTTTTGTCTGATTGGATTTAGTTTTCAGCAAAAGCATCATTGGTCTCATACTGAGAGTTTTGAGTATGAAACTTTTAACTCCTTAGCAGACGTAACCATGGGACAGAACATAGGATACAAGCTTTCAGTTGAAGGACTTACTCCTGCCATTTGCTAAATATGTATTTTTGAGACAAATGATCTAGAATCCCCTCACTTCTAACCTCCTGAAAATACCTGCCTTATACCTTTTGTATTGGGATTAAATGAAGTAGTGGATGTTGATGGCCAAGCATTAATAATTACAGATTATTAAACCAAGGAAGGAAACAAAGAGCTGAGGAAAGAACAGGCCTAACTAAATCTTTGGAAGCAGAACAAAAGCCAGTGTGAAAATGAATCCTTGTTCAAAGATACTGACTAAGCTGAGTAAAATATAGTCACACATACACGTGAGTGCCATGGTCTTAGAGGGTTACCTGTATTGGGGTGGAGGAAGTCAGTATAGATCTTGCCAAGGAGCATCTCAGTTCCTTTGTGTGAATGGGATAACTGTGTGTGTGTGTGTGTGTGTGTGTGTGTGTGTGTGTGTGTGTGTGTGTACTCTCTTTGCAGTCTAGTGTCAGGCACTAGTCCCTCTGTGAGAGTTAAATTCAGTTTACGACATTTCCATTAAATTATAACTTCCTGCTGACAGAACTTTCTAGAGGCTATTTCAAAACATACAAAGATACCACTCTAAAAAGTGACCTCAAGTATGCCTTGTGTAGTTGAGTTTCTTTTATGAAAATATGATTACATCATTTCCTCCCTTCCTATTCTTCCTTCGAACCCCTCCTATGTATCTCCCCTCCCACCTTGCTATTCTTGAAATCATGACCTTTTGAGAGAGGACAGCATGTGTGTGTACCTAAATATATAAATGCAACCTACTCAGTCCATCGGGCGTTACTTGTATGTATTTGAATTCAGAGCTAGCCACATGGCATTGTATAACCCAGGTAGGATTGCTTCTCCCCCTCCTGGCCTCTCCTAGTTGCCTGTATCTCTTTGTCTATGGGTGGAGCCTCATGAGATGTGCCCCCTTCCACATGTCTTGTTTGTTTGGACTCTACAGAAACAAAGCCAGCCTGTGTATTCAACAGTGTGGAGTATTACGACGGAGACATGTTTCGAATGGACAACTGTCGATTCTGTCGATGCCAAGGGGGTGTCTCCATCTGCTTCACTGCTCAGTGTGGGGAGCTGAACTGCGAAAGATACTATGTGCCTGAAGGGGAATGCTGCCCTGTGTGTGAAGGTAGGGGATAGCTCCCTGGAGGCTGAATGGTTCAGAGCTTTTTGTTCAAAACCTCTCTAATTCAGAGGGATGTGAAGTCCCCTTGTAATAGCTCCATTGTTTCTTTTAGAATGTTGATAATGCATAGTGGGATATATGGAAATACCTTCCTGAGGAAAGCTCCATTTGGGGGACAGCCAGTGGTCACATGTTTTACAAGTTGACATGTGATTTCGGGTTGCTTCCTGTTCCTGCCCTGCAGCTGTAGTGGTAACTTAGTAAGTTCTAGCACCAAGCTTGTATACACCTTGGCATTAAAATTTGTCATCTGCTGTCCTTGGATTGCTCGGCTAGAGTTGGTATGGCTTGTCACCATCAGTCTTAGCCAGTCATCTCAGAGCCATGACCCTGCTGCCATTTTTCTCTGGAAAAGTTGTGCTACTTAGAGTCAGGCTACAGATTGGTGTAGTGGCAGCAGCAGTTTCAGGACCAGGCATGTGTCAGGTGTGACTTTTAGGTACCTGTTGATTCTGTATTCCTCTCTTGTTCAAGCAGTAGTATTTGCATGTTCCTCCTGCAGACTCCTCCCATTTCTGCTTGTCATAAGTAGTGAGATGTCATAATGGCACCCTGATTCTCATCTACTGCACCCTACCCCCTTAAGGATCAGGAAACTGAAGTTCAGATAAACCATTGATCACCTAAGTTTGCAAGGAAGCCAAGAACAATGGGCCAGGGCCTGAAAGAGCCTGTGGTATCTCCACTGCTCAGACAGTGTTCTGAGCAATGGTCACACGAACCTCTTGTCCTGACTGGGTCACAAATCTGTAGTCCAAAGTTTACTTGCCCTCTGCTCACAAAGCACAGGGCATGGTGGCCTGTGCAGTTCTTTACTGTCCTTCTTGAAATCCTTTTGATGCTTGTGCTTTACTTATCATACTGTATTGAAGACCTGAAATAATCTAATGTAGGGCACCTCTATTCCTGACCTCAAGCAGTTGTTCATACTAATGAGTCCTTTCATTGCTTGGAAAGTATTTCAGCCAAGACAGGAGAAAAGTAGTTCATTTTTTATGTGTCACTGAGGTTTTAAAAAAAAAAATCACCTCAAACTTTGAACTTTCCCAATTGATTATTCTCTAACCAGCCCTAGTTGGAAGTAGAATCAGAAACTGCGTCAGGGTTAGTGAGGTAAAAACAGATAGGAACCTCTGTATTAACAGTCTCAGTGAGCTTCCTGTGCAAGCATCTGATCACCTCTCACCCCCAGAATTCAGAGCCAAGCTCAAAGCAGAATGAACTAAGCACTGTAATGTTTTTTTATAAAGGACCTGGGAAAGTCCCAAGTACCTGAGGTCTGTAGACCACTTCCATCGAACTTTTGTATAAATGCCCTCACTAGCCTCTAAAGTTAACCTGGTTCTCTCATCTTACTTGTTGACGCCAGTTTTTACATATTTTTAGTAAAGAAAATGGAGCAATCTATCGATGGTTCTCCTTACAGAGATACTTGGGGCTATTTTTGCATCCATTATTTATGTTCTTGTCCATCATTTCAGAATATTTCTTTTTATGGTAGTCTTGTCTAATTCTGTCTTTCAGCCTTGTCTATTACTTAGCTGCCCAAGTTATGGGAAGGAAATGGTATAAATTCAGTCCTCCTTCCTCTATGGGGTGTCCAAACGAGCTTTGCCATGCAGACAGCTGCATTAAGGACCTACTGTGCTCCTTCCCAATGTCCTCATCGGCCTGTGGACACCATCACAGTCAGTTCACTTGGTCCCAGAAGTAACAGTTATCACTTTGAGTTCAGTGGGCAGTGCTCTTTCTCCTTTCCAGGTGATGAAATCGATGTGTAGAAAATATTTAATTCAGGAGCTCAAACGACTTTCTCCGAGCCTGAAACAGACCTGTGTTTTCTCAGTACCAAAGCTTGTCTCTATCTCCATGTCTTGACAATCCTAGGAGTAATGACACCTGCATACCTGTTTCTAGGTCACATTCCTCCTAACTACCATGTCAGAATGAAAAGATAGAAGTCCATTATGATTGCTGCCTTTGGATGTAATCCCAGGGACCACTTCCTATTAGTCCCCAGTTTCCATTGATCATAGTTTGAATAGCATTGAGGGTGGAGCATGGAGAAAACTGTCTCCAGGTGCAGGCAGGGGTCAGGTTTGGAAGACTCAATCTCATTCTAAACTCGTGTTTTGCTGTAGATCCCATCTATCCTTTTAACAACCCTGCTGGCTGCTACGCCAATGGTCAGATCCGCGCCCATGGGGACCGGTGGCGGGAAGATGACTGCACCTTCTGCCAGTGCATCAATGGAGAACCTCACTGCGTGGCCACCGCCTGTGGGCAGAGCTGCATGCATCCCGTTAAAGTGCCTGGGGAGTGTTGCCCCGTATGTGAAGGTAAACCTTGCTTTGCGATTCTAATGAGTGTCTGGCACAATGTCTCCAATCAAGGAAGCTTCTGCCAGTATGGTCTTGTTTTCCTTTTTATTTCCTTGGGCATAATGTCTGCTTCGTGCTGTTACTAGTTGCAGACAAATTTATTATACAACCCAAATTCGTCATTAGGGGAAAGTGTTGGGAATTTAAAATGAGAATAGCATGGCCTTTGCTTTAGCATTGCACATGTGCTTGTCTGTACACATTACACAGTCCAAGCATGCATACATTTTGAATCAGTGCACTGCAAGCCTACCTGCCACCCAAAGGTCAAGACAAGGAAATAAAATCGGAAGTCAGAGCCCTTGCTCGGGCACAGCATGTTCAACTTGTGGTACTTCACAGCCCAAGAATGCTGATGGCCAGAAGAAAATCCCAGAACTCTCAAAGGCAATCCGCACTGGCCTCATTCTGAGCACCCTGCTCCCTCTACAGCTAAGGCTGAGATGACCGTGACTTCCGGTTCCTCTAATTCTTTGCCTTGTGACCTGGTTCCCCACATTCACTTTGTCTTTTCCTGCTCTGGAGAGCAGCTGAGGCACGCTAGGCTCATTTCTGAGCCAGCTGCTGTCCAGTTCACTTCCTGTACCCTGAGAAGATAGTTTGCATGCATTCTTAACTCAGGCATGTCGGTCTTCATAGACGTGAAATGACTGAATGTTTTTACGCTGGCAGAGCCAGTAGGGGACCCATGCTTAGAAAGCATTTTGCATAGTAAAATGAACGAATATTGGCCAGAACCTATGTTGAAAATGGATCCCTGTAGAATTGATAAACCATGTAAGAAGAAACGGGCAGGCTTTCTTCCAGGAAATGATCTAATTAAGGTCTTTTTTAGTAGAAAGAATTTTTTTTCCCATTTCTGGTGGACTAGTTGTGTGTGTTAATTGCTATATGTGGCAAGAAGAAGCTTCTCTGATGAGGGTTGAGTGATGCACTGATCAGGGGGTACAGCATTATGTCATTACAAGTCATCTGATTGCCTGCCGTGTTCATTTAGCAGAATAATAGTAATTGGTTTTCCCCTAGGCCTGTGACGTGTAGTATCAAGAAATCCTTTGCTAGAATCTGAATTGTAGTACACTAAGACTTCAGTTTGGTTACTGGTGTATGGTATTAGCTAGCCTCACAAGGATTAGACTTCCTTAAGATCTTAAAAACCACGTAAAGAAATGGAAGCTGGTGGACTCTTGTACATTGATGTCACCAGTCCGCTTACTGTTACCCTACACCGAGTAGAGCCACCACCCTCCAAGAAGTTATAACTTCCAGATGATAGATTTTGTAGAACTCATACACTCCCTTTCCAGCCCCTAAAGGCAGCATTGTAGGGCTGCAAAGAGGCCATGTGCAAAGCTGTGTTGTCCCCCAGTGGACTTGGCAAGAGTACTTTGCTGATGGCAGTAAGGTGGCAGTGCCCAAACCTAAGTATTATGGACAGTCTGTTGTCAACCTGAAATATTAAAGTCCCAATATGTGACTGATAAAGTAAACAAAAATCACAAATGCTTAGCTCAATAAAAACCAGCCTTTTAACCTCAAGTTTTGCTATCTACATTCAAAATGAAACTTTTAGAGTTTGTTACTGAACCAGGGTGGGGGTTTGGGAGATACTTTCCAACCACAATAAGTTAACAAAGCCACCAGTGTGTGTGTATGCAGTTGATCTAGTCTTAGCTTGTAGAGGTCACCAGTGTGTGATCTAGTCTTAGCTTGTAGAGGTCACCAGTGTGTGATCTAGTCTTAGCTTGTAGAGTTAGGAGCCTGGGTAGCCTCTCTTAGTTGGGTCACTTCGTGTTTGGGTTCTGTGGCATCTGCACAGACTTGTGACCTAATTCTTGACAGCTTAAGAAAAGAGTTACAGTGTGAGTGAGCCATTAATACCAAAAGCTTAATGGAGAACCTCCTGCAGCCTAGCAAAGACAAAGGTAAAGACGGGACACTTCACGGAGCACACTTAACTGAGTTTTCAATTAAACCAGGGAAAAGAGAAGCATGTCTATGCTGTGAGGTATGAGCTTGACATTTGCACCTACCGTTGGATGTCCTTTGTAATGGGCACTGTGCTGACAGCCTTGCTATCCCATTTTAGAGATGAGGAAATGAAGACTAAGAGAGACTTAGCCACCGTGTGGCATAATTGAACTTTTCCTGCCGGCCTTGCACCCAGCGTCTCCCCTTTTTTTTATGAATCTTCATCCATGACTGGCTTTTGGCTCCTTGTCAGAGAGAGACTGGAGTGATATAGCAGGGTAGGAGATTGATGAAGTTTGGAAAATTCCTATAAGCATTTGGGATGTGATCACCTGTTGACCCTCCGCCCCAGTTGGTAGAACTCAGGAGAGGGTGCCCTTGAGATACCTCCAGAATTGCCTTCCAGACTCCTGTCTTGGGTGGCCCTCTTGGCCTTGACAACACAGTGATTTTCTCAGTTCATCCCGAAGCTCCTGCTGGTCCCTCTTTGTCTCTATCTGTCTTCCTCACATCTTTCAGAAGATTGCATCTTGTAGTCCTCAGAGAACTCATTTGGCTACTGTTTGTTCTTTTGTTTTTCACCTGAGCGGAATAGCAAGTTTGGTCTAGGATGGTATCAGTTCTCCAGAGATTGTCACTGTAAGATGTAATAAAGGCAGAATGACTTTTTTTTTTCCATACAGAATCAAAATTCAGAGACTGATACTGAAAAGTTACTGATAAATAGTAAGCATTCTAATTATTTTTTAAATCATATAAGTAGAGAGGGTCTTATTGTGTAAGACCAAGAAAATCTGTGCATCCATTTGAAAACATTTTTCTCAGTAGCTGTTCCATAGTACTGTTAAGTATAATGGCGAGTAATTTCAGAATTGCAAAAGAATGGGATGAAATAAGGAAAAAAGAAGCCATCAGCCAAAATCATTTACAGACAAACAGAACTACTGGCACGTATGAGATTCAGACCCATAGGAAACTCCTGCACACACACTTGCCTAGAGTGTTGACCCTCATGCTTTAGCTTTTTCTCAGGTACTCAGAATGTGAAATTAGAAGAGCCAACCCCACACAGGCATTGTGGCTTTGAGTGTTTCAAAAATAACTCACAAGTTACCAAATATCGAGTTAGGATCTCCAGAGAGAGAGAGAAAACCTTGGGGCTGTCATTGTCATTAAAAATGCCTACCTTCCAAGCGACAGCATAATATGACTGGCTACTCCCAGAGGACCAGAACATGAATCTGGGAACCCTTGAAGACAAGGCTGTCACTTGACAGCTAACTTGATTCAGAAGTACTTTAGTGCTTTTTAAGTTGTCACTTAAGTACTCTTGTAATGAAGTCTTATTGAGTTATTGTCAACAGCCAATTCGGGTGTACCGATAAGCTTAAGCCATGTCGGTCTGTAGGCTTGAAACAGATTGTATCCTCCTAGTTTGCTTTGCTGGTTTTTCTGTGTATCTTCTCATGTTCACCAGTCTCATTTGGTTTGGTTGGTGGGTATTTTGAGACAGGGTTTTCCTGTGTAGCCCTGACTGTCCTAGAACTTGATATGTAGACCAGCACTATCCTCAAACTCGGAAGTCCGCCTGCCTCTGACTCCAAAGTGCTGGAATCAGAGGTGCCACCACGACAGCATGCCTGACTAATCTCATTGGTTTTAATTTCATTCCTAAGAGCTAGGGTAGAAATGCATGGAATAAATATGAGGTTTGCAATTCAGGTGTATATATGAAAGACCTGTCCTATGTATTTTTTAATCTAAAATTTAATGTGGAAAGGACAAAGGGATAATATCATCTTGCTTGCAGTCCTTAACAACTAACATTGCTTGCTCACTTACTGTGTCATGAGTACAAGAGCATCATCTCATCTGATCCTGCAGCATCCTTAGAGCGGGTGGTAGGTTGTCACAGACCTCACAGCTCTTGTCACTTGTTTTGAGCTGTACAGCAAGCATGTAGCAGCACTGTGTCATCAAAGCCCAGGCTCTGAACTTTGCACCCACACTTCCTCAGACACTAGAAAAGCCACACATCCCTGGGGGATGAGGAATTTCCCATGTTCTTTTGAATTATTAAGTGATAACTATGACTACATATAAGTAGGTGCTTAAAACTTTTCAAATGAGTAAACAGTGAGCAGAGGCAGGAAAGGAGGGAGGGAGGCAGGGAGAGGGGAGGGAGGGAAGAATGAAGTAGCAAACCCAATACTTCCTTGACTCTGGGTCTCCTTGTCTAAGAAATGGGATAATAAGATGGAGTCACCTTAACCAGAGCCTGAACTGCCATCTAAACCCCTGACCGGTGAAGAAAGGACAACTTTGGGATGTTTGTATGTGAGTCACATTTTGAGGTCAGAGTATAGAGTGTCTCCTGTGTTTGACATTAGTGGCCCTCTAGCTCCAGATGTTGTGGCTCCACCAGCTTCCCTTTGCACACCAGGAGTTTCACCAAGTGCCCTGCTCTTGGCTCCATTGCAGAGGTAACCCCTTAGGCCTTCCATGACTGGTGTGTAAGTAATCTGAAGTTGGTTCTCTCCGGTTCAGCTCCTAAAGACTGGAATTTCAAAACTTGATGAGGTTTCCCCAGGGTCAGGCCAGTGCCAGCTGTCCTGTTGAATCCATACTACTTTCAAAGCACACGGCGTGAATGTGTAGATGCCCCACTGTGTTGTTGCTCACTTATTTACATAGGCAAGATTGGTATTTCTTATGCCACAGTTAGGTGTCTTTTAATAATTTGGAAATTTTCTCCTCGGTACTATCACGTACACAAACTGCATAGGTTAGTTGTTAATGCCATGCAATACCTAAGGACAGTATGAAACTTTTTTTTTCTTCTTTTTAAAAACAAAATAAATTTTCTAGCTCAAGTTAAAATGAGGCTACTGCTGAGATGTGTGATAAGCTTTCTAAATAAGAAAAAAGGCAAGTCATGGGCCAGGCGTGGTGCCCACTTAGCAGTGACACCCAGTACTGGAGATAAG